TCGAACGTAAGAGTAAAACATGGGCTTAATTCCATTTAAGGTTTGGATGACGTTTCCGTCAGAATCATAGTCACGTTGATATGATTATGAAGAATAAAACTGGCTTTTTTCTATATAGACTGCTAGATATCGGCCAGTAGTGGAATTTAAGACATGCATTTCATCCTGTTTGTGACTCGTCAGCTGGATGTACTTGGCTGTCGGTGAGTGATGTTTGCCCACGGTCAGTTGTTTCAAACGTCAAGTTGTTATCCTTTTGAAATGGTCATTGTATGGATATGATGTTATGGTTGATAAATGTCCTTTAGTGTTTCTAAGTAACTGATCGACAACTATTAGCAATATGGGGTCCTGTGTGGATACCTCCTTATCTCCGGTATTTTCAATTTTTTGACGCTAATAATCGATAATGGTTAGAGATGGAATCGAGAGGGGTACGTTTCTTGGGTCGTTGACCTACTGTAGATGACATTCTGGAGTTTGTAGCTATCTGTAATCAGTTTAGGTCCTTGTGGGAACAACACCACTTACTAGGAGGCAGAAGAATTCAGCTAACGAATCGCACATCATAAATTCCAATGCTAGCTACCTATCCGTCAATAATATCAAATGGGATTGAGGATAGATATTCGTAATTCATTCACTCACCAGTAAATAGATCTGGTTATCTTCATTTTCTCACCTTATTGTTATTCGTCAACTCAGAGTCATTTCGGTAGATTGGACGTAGGTCACGCTATATCGTGAACTGACAGAATTAGGAAATGTAGACGACTGGATTCCGACCCAGTGTGTCCTGGGTGCGCCTGCTGAGGAGTCCCATACTCGGACAAAACAGTTGTCCAGTGCTCTCACGTTTCCAATCTTGCTCCAAATGATGTCAGTCCATGATAAATTCCAACCATAAAATCAACAAATAGTCCTCACAAGTCTCCAAAATAATAAAAAGAAGAGTCGAATTGTTAACCTCAGGAATCAGGGATTCGTATTTCACTCACTCATCAGTACATAGATATGGTTATCTTCATTTTCTCACCTTATGGTTATTCGTCAACTCAGTCATTTCAGTAGATGAAAACTCTTCATGTTTAACCTCATAAGTATTTTGTATACATCTCTTCCTGTCTCTATGTTTATTCTGATTACTTCACACGACTGTTTAGTGCTTCTCAATGACTGATTATGCAATCTCAGTTACTAAGCCTAGATGACTTATTTACTTAAGCAACTTCACCAACATGTGTAGATAAGGTGTAAATTTACACAGAATCATCTATTCTATTCACTTCACTGTTTTACAATAATAATAATAATATGAATAAACATTATGATTTGTAGTATTGTTTGGATTAGATAGGATAACAATTAAGACTATCCCACACGAATGAATAGTTGGTTCACGTATAATCTGTAAATCTAGTAACTATGTCCTCTTAAGACAGAAACAGAATAGCCAATGTGATTGCAAACGTCAATTCCAGAGTGAAAAAACAAATACATTTAGGTGAAATCAATGAAATATTTCGAGTAAAACAAACATTAACTGATACTTCACACATTGAACAAGATCTTAACTTCCTGATAACCAGTTACAAAATGACACTTCTCTCCAACAGTATCTTAAACAGAATAGTAGGATTATAAGCTCAAATGATACAATTTATTTTTGAATAGATTATAATGTTCCTCGTTTTCTTCAAATACATCGAAAGTGTTCACTGAAGAGGTTTATAGAGATCGATTGATTGGCTGATTGCAAGTTGATGTTTAACACCTCCGTGACAGAATCGTGAAGTGTTCACCATGAGACCTAATGGTCCTAGACTCCATCATTGATGGTGTTGTGGATGCACACTGTTGAACAGTCTCGATATCGAGACGGAACAACTGTCCAATACTTTCAAGTTTCCACCAATTCTCACACCAACCTGGTTAATTAATTAGCTAGTTGCTGGTCAGTCCTAAGCCCGGATAAAGAGGGAAGGTTGGGCATAGGGTTAGCAACCCCACCTCATAAAACCAGTCGAATCTCTAAAGAAACTTCGAAGCACAGAGAAAATATAAAACATGTAAGACATGTATGTCTAGATTATTCTTCACTGGTCAACTTAAGTGTGACATGGAAAGTTTACTAGACTATTTCCTTCACAAATCGTATTGAATTCATTAGAGTGGATAATTTGAGGGATGGGAGGAAGCTCATATACCTACTCCATTTATCTGTGAACAAACAATATGTTGAAACAACGACAACCACATGTATAGATATCCTGTTCATTAGTGACATGCTTCGAGATGGATGATAATGAGATGTGATTAGTGGAGTCAACCAGTTGGAAGTGATAGTCGAGGTATATCGGTAAGTGAAAGGAGTAGTAAATTGTGTAGTATTGAAATCAGACTCACTGGCTGAATGTTTAACGTGGTTGTGAATTCTATCACTGGTGGGTAGGGAATTGGATGGCTATCCATGAGGAGTCCAATACTGTGAAGAAACAGCTGTCCACTACTGTGACGTCACCAATGGTGCTCAAAACTGATGACAGACTCTGATGCATGCCACCTTAATTATCACTATGGATCTCCAAGCTTGACTGAATATTCTTGTTGAATAGATAGAGCGCACGAACAACCTGTTCTAGGAAATAAGTAGTTATATTGGAGAAATAACACATGGAACATTTGCTTTATAATCGGTACTAATGTATTGTGTAAAGCCTACACAGATCACGCATGCACAGTGTCGTAAACTCAGTAGTAGCAGTAATCTAATTCACTTACGAGGTAGAAAATGAACAAGGAGAATTATCTATGTCAGATTGCAGCACAAAACGAAGGACAAACTATGGTTTGGATACTATCGTCTACAGAAATCCGACACGTTCTAACTGGTATCTAGACTTCAAGTCATCTCATCCAATGTAAGTCTAAGTCAGGTAAGGCAGGCTCAGTCAAATGTCTAAGTGATAGAGCTAGAAAACTGAATAGTCAGGGCAACCACCGAAACAAGGAATTGAAACACGTAAAAAAAGCACTAATACTTACGAATTATCCTCCGCAGTTTATCAACAAATTCGTACGAACACACAAGAAACAAAATAATAGCAGTAGGAATAATAGTAGGAATAATAATGACAACACAAGCAGAAAGGAGTTCACATCCTCCATTGTGTTACACTGTCATGAAGCTACATCAGGAATTTTACGCAGGATCCTCAACAAAGCTGAAATTAGGGTGGCATTTAAAACAACAAACTCACTCAGAGATAAGCTTTGTTGGGTGGCTTAAGGATCCGATAGAACCAATTCAGTAAAACAAGCTAATCTACCAAATTTCACGTAATCACTGAGAGATCAAATAATACATAGGTCACACTTGTCTGTCGGGGTCAGTTAGAATAGCGGAACATAGGATTTCAGCTGAATACTGAATGACAGACCTGAACAAGATCAACAATCTAAAAAAAACACTCGACCGCTGAATCCTGCTTCACCTAGACAAGACTCAACATCTCCTGTCACCTTCAGTGGAACCATAGTCTGTGTATTGAACTCATGAAGAATTAGAACTAAACTGGAATATGCATCACTCTATTATTGTTCTGCAGTAATATGTAAAATAAAATCACTTTCTGAAATTTAAGTTTCTAAAACCACAAGTGATTATTTAGTCAGGGCTTCCACTGTTAGATTTCGCTGCCCAGCAGCTTAACTCAATGAGTATGTTGGCGAAAAGGCCAACTAAATGACCCATTACAAAACTGACATCATCATTCTCACAACAGTTAAATTTCTGAAGTGACATTTCAGTCACTCATGAGAAGAAATGAGGAATGTGAATCAGACCACTGTGCTGCAGTTCGTTCTCTTCTACTATGTGATTGGGAAATATGGACTTTAATGCTAGGGGATATGAGACTATTTCAGGTGTGCAACCAACATCGCCTTCTTGGCACTGGCTGTATCTCACAGTGCCTCCACTTCAATAGTGCAGAAGGCAGTCATAGAATATTAGGCTAGGATGGCTGGGACAAATGGACAAGTGTAACCATGTGCCTCATCAAACAACCTTGACTGAAGCAGAATGAGATTGGAAAAGCGTTGGACGTGGCCAGAATAAGACATGGTATCAGTCCCTGAAGTCATGTAAGCAAATGCATCTTTTTCTATCAGGGTTCATCAGACATCAGACCATATGACGCAGGATCAATCTCACTCGTGCACATGCACAATCAACCTATCTGTTACTAGAACTCACTACTAAAGTCAACAATACATTTGCAAATCGAGCAATTTACCACTTCATTACAATGAAAACAACTACATTTTCGAGTGTTGGAATTCAATCTACTTTCGTTGATTCCGATTCCGATGGAAAACTCCACCTCTGTCTGCTAACAGTTTTCACCATTATGCTCAGTGAGGTGTATATGATCGGAAAACAGTAATTAAATATACTACCAACAATTGACATCAATCAACCACTCGAATGGACATCGTCTTCTTCGTCTAAATAACCTTTCTCATCTTCACAAGAGGTATCATTTGAACAGAAAATCATTTCTAACAGTCTAACCCATCTGCATTAGCTTAAACAAACAACAACTAAGTGATTTCGTACACACACTATCCTCTCCTCTTCACAATATCACATCTCCGAAACTTTCACTCATTTCGAATGTAACTAACTGGCTTAAGGAATCATCATCCGCTTGATAAGAAAAAAATATCTATTAAATATACTCACTAATGGTCTTCTCTCTCGATAGGCTAATCAACTAATTAATTAACTAGGTAATTAAGTAATTAACGAATCCAACTGAACTATTCAGCAGCCAGTAAAGTAGAACGAAATACTCTCCCAGTGTTCCAGTCACGTAATTCACTCACTCACTCACTCACTCATTCACATATTGAGATGAGATAATTCAACACAATTTTCAAGTAGACAATGAGTAATTGAAGGACTTGAAAAACTGTTATTATTCTCGTTTGATTACTTGATTAGTTGATATGGTGATGTTGATTTGATGATAGTATTTCCTTGTAGGCGTCATTCCCCAACAAGCGATAGAAGAAATCAACGCCTTGTCGTCAATGCTGAGTTAAAACGTTGACACGATAGAACAGCTTAATTATTTGTCTCTCCTCTACTGGGTAATTTTGATAAGAATACTTGTCTTCACATAACACAATTAATTATTCAACTGATAAGACATAATTGTTCCAATGCAATGTGTTTGTTCGCCTTCCTCGAACAACCCTGAACAATTGATCGGGAATAAAGACGAAGATGGAGATGAGTAGACGAGGTTTTCATCAAGCATGACAAGAGTAATAACTGTCAAAGAATATTTCACACTCCTCATATATGTTTATCATTAAAACTGGGCAAGGGATCTTCATCAAACTGAGATGATGGGCAGTGGCTAGCAGTGGAATCCAGGATGCGCATTTCATCCTATTTGGGACTCACCAGTCAGCTGGATGTACCTGCTTCCCAGTGAGTGACGTTGTTCCCACTGGGATTCGAACTTGGGAGCGACCGTTTCAAACGCTCGGTGGTGTTTATTACCAATGGAACTTGGCTGTAATGACGATCTAGTGGTGAAGTAGCCAGATAAATCTGACTTATGAAGTGAATAATACTCAATTTCACCAGTGCAAATCATCTCACTTCCTTGTAATGTGTACTCTAGTGTAGGAATGCACATATGCGGAGGAATGGTTGGAGCTGAGATTTTGTATTTGACTTATGCATGGAAGTGAACGGATGACAAGCTTGGGGAAGGAAATTACTGCAGATTGAGATGAGTAGTTGTGTGTTAATTATTCAATGTAACAATTGAAATGTTGTGGATATGAATCATGTGGTATGTATGGTAATTCCTATGGTGAGGGGGGAGCATGCCACTTGATGATTTTCATGACCAGCTTCAACAGTGGGAGATTGATAGGTTCATCAACTTACTACGACACTACGGAGACCTTACTTTACAAAAAGTAAGTTTTCGCATCAGGGTTCTTTATTTACAGCTAGTATTTTACTCTGATTATAGATAATTATTTGAACTATATGAGATGGCCATGGTTTGGCAGACTAGTGCTGACACTAAGCGATGATTGAAGGTGAAATGAGAATTTAGCTCGCTGAGGGATTCGAAACAGCAACCACCTGGTTTCTGGTCACAAGTCGAACTTCATAGCTCAGTTGGCAGAACACCGAGCCGCAAACCCAGTGATCGCTTGTTCGAGTCCCACAGTGGTGGATATTTTTATTTCACCTTCAATCATCACCAATTATCGATGAAAGAAAAGGTGCCTTGAAATTGTGTTACACTTGGATGTTTGTTGTCGATTGGGAGTAAATAACGGAGTACTGACTCTAATTGTCTTTTCTTTTGAATAAATTCTTCACAGAGATTGTATTAATATCTGTATAATTAAGCAGACAGGTAGTGATACTGAAAAATTGCATCGGCTTGGTATCATTTCAGACGGAAATCAGCCTGTGAAGTTCATATATGAGTCAATCATTTCTTTAAAACAAACGGTTGATCTTATATTCACTTTTACTTCAAACCTAAATTCTATTTTTACTACTTATTGGTACATTCGTAATTCTGTCGTTATACTGGATCGAATTGTTCGATCTCTGCCTCGATATTGCCTGAATACCTATTACGGTATCTAACTTGGTTGTGGCTAGTTGAGGATTACAGGACGCGCGTTTCGTCTTTTTCGCGAATCGTCAGCTGGATATACCTGTTCGCACTGAGACTGGAACCTCGTACCCACAGCTTTAAATACCGAGACGTTATCCATTATGCCACAGAAGCACGATACCCACTTTATACATCTAGCTGATGAGTGTTAGATGGGACGAAGCATGCGTCCTGGATTCCTCTGTTAGCCACAACCAAACAAATTATTATATTTGTTTGTATGAACTATCTCCGAATGAAATGCAGCGTATAGAAGAGTGGGCTAGTTTATTCTCTGACAAAATGAGATCAGTCAAGGTCTCATTGCGTTTTTGACACTCAGTAATTCATGTCGATAGATACTTGGTAGATCTATCCATTTTTCGCCACAATGAGAACAGTTAAACAAATGTACATCTACAGATTGTACTAGAATGGACAATTTAGACTCTAACTAGACTAACTCGATTTTCCTTACTTTAATTAAATGGCTTATTTGAGTGGTAGATGCTTGCTACTATCACTAACAGGATAGTTCTTATTTAGCTATTACATCATATTCAGTGTAGATCACCTAATCAGATCGTATAGTATGAAAAGAAGCAGGATGATGAAGACGAATAGTCGTAGGATGGAAGTATTTTTCAAACCAAATATACAAACTCAATTTATATACTATAGATGTTGTTTTATTTGTTATAGAGTAGCCTAGTATGAAAACGTTACAACTGCTGAAAAAAACTAACTTCTTCATTGTTAATTTCGTCAGAGGTTTGTTTAGTTTGTTAAACTCAATCTACTCACCTATATCTTTCTGTACCTAACCGAAAACTAAAGATTCATACATTCAAGGTCATTTCTGAAGATTTTGATGTATACGATAAAACAGTCTTTCATCATATTACCTCTGTATAGTTAGAAGAAGCATATGCCACGAGTTTCTAACAAGGAATAAGTTAGATATAGTAGTATTTTCAGGAAACCTACTCAATGGATGAGACTAGAAGACGTCGAGTAAAAATGTGTATGTAGCTGTGTAGACCCTAATGCTCAGTGTCATCTGAAGATAATCGATCCAGTTTAGCAATTTTTCCAGTGAGCAATGTGTACACAGTCATGATCTCTGGATTCATTGCTAAGTAATTCAGTTTCCAATCATCTAGGGAACACCGGTTTCCTCATGATTGTAGACATGTACCAAAAAGTATGACACTTATATGCTGAACTGCTTGTTGATTACCTCCTACCGTCAATCACAATAAGTGGTTATCCTGACTCGTTGGTCTAATGGATAACGCCCTGGCATTTGAAGAGATCCTTTTGAGTGCTAGTGGGCACAAAACGACTCACTGGGAGGGAAGTATATTCGGCAAACGAGTGAGAGTCCCAAACTGGAGGATACGCATATCCTGAATTTCCCTGCTACCCAGTATCCATCTTTACTCTCTGTGGGTTGGTTTTAATTAAGTTATCGACATTCCGATGATGTTAAACCTTCGTAACATGTTACTGTTAGACTTGGATTAGCTATCTTATTTTACTTACTGATAAGTATTTATTAACGATTTAATCTGATTAATAATAGGTGAATCAGACTTGGTCATATGTCCTTAAGAATCGTAAATTTTCTCACTTGCCTTATGACCTTTAGACCTATACATTGGGCTAAGTGAAACATGTCCATTCGACTTTTGCGTTGCGCTCAGACAAAATTTTCTCGTCACTTAAATCTCTCATTGGTCAATGGAATAATATTTATTTGCTTAATCTTTCTGTTGGACAAATTTAGCTTTGTTAGGGTCAGACATTGAAGGGTGAGAATTTTGTGTCCCAGAAAGATCGATTCAAATAACCAGTAGAGAGTCTCTACAAGACATTTTCTCTTAGTACTAGATGATGAGAGGGATGGTTGTGAAAAATAGTGACTTGTTTAAAATACTTCATTTCATTTGCTGTTTATCCGTAGGGTAGGCAGATATTTGTAGCTTAGTCAGTAATAAGTGACTGCATTGTGGCTAGTGGTGGGATCCAGGATGAGCATTTCTTTCCATTTGGAACTTGTCAGTTGAAAGTACTCGCAAATAAGTTGCGTCCGCGATTTCCCTGCTATCTACAACTAAGCCAATTATAACTTGTAGTTCCCCGTTGCTGTACTAGGTCGAATTGTTTGACCTGTATTGGTACATCGGCTCTTATGTACAGACCTCGATATTCCCCAAATATCCATTCTCCTATAGGTGACTAAGGTAGTTAGCAGAGGAATTCTGGATGGTCCAGGGTGGTTTTTGAACGTTTCATCGCCGGGTTGAGTGACTTCATCAGCAGTTACCTTGTATAGAAAGGCAGATAAGCAAGCATGACAACTGTTATTTACTATGTATAGCAATTAATGGGTTTAAGTGTCTGCGTGTTGAGTTCCCGCTGTATTACCTTGCTGCTCAGAGAAGAATTGTTACTATTATGAACTGTATTGTCGTACAACATGTAATAGGGAATCAGTCAGTTCAGGAAGTATCTATTGAGAATATTCAAGTTATATAAATTATTTGTCAGAGATTACACTATAGATTTTCTGAATTAACTTACAAACACGGTTTATTACTACCTGTAACTTCTTGTTGGTACAACAGGTCAAAATACTCTACCTCTTTTGGCACACAGGGTTCTATGTGCACACCTAGATGCTCCCCGGGTATTCATAATGTTATAGTTGGCTTGGTGGCTAGAAAAGGAATCCAGAATGTTCATTTATTCGTATTGTAGACTCAGCAGCTGGATATATCTGCACCCCTAATAGAATGCGAACTAAGTACCCATCATTTCAAACACTATAGCATCACTCACTAGGTCAAAGAGGATTCCAATCTAACCTTAACCTTTCAAATTGACTGATTTCATTATACAGTGGATTGGTTTAGTATAAACAGATGAGATGACGGCTACCATTGAACTTTTTGTTGGATATCGTTGTATGCAAACTAGGTGATTTTCTTTACATTCATGGATATGTAGAAGTGAGTGTACTTCCTATTCATGGAAGAGAAAGAAACCTAACCCTTCAGTGACAATTCACACGGGCTTTATCAAGTATACATTGGATGGTCACTGGAGAGTAACCAATTTCGTTTTGTCTAGTGCTGTGTTGATCAAATGACAATGAAAGGAAAAGGTCAACCTATAGCAGCTAAGTGGTGAGTAACTGGTTTGACTGAATCTAATTTTTCGACTTGATGAATACCAGGGATTACGCCTGGAATTACCACTTAATACTAAGATAGTGCTACTTGAATAGTGTTTCCTTTTGGGGTTGTACATCATTTTAGAATTTTTCAAGTTGGTATCCACTATGGACTGACATCAGTTGGAGAAATACTAGAAACCTAGGAGCACTAGACAGCTGCTTCATCTCAGAATAGGACTCCTCAGCAGTGTGCACCCATGACCCCTCTCCCCAGGATTCGAACCCGAAACCTCCAGCTTCCGTATCCAGCATGTTACCAGTGAGCCACATGGTAGGAATCCAATGGTCCATATTTCCTATTTCTGTCAGTTCACGGCA